AGGAGAAGGAGAAGGAGAAGGAGAAGGAGAAGGAGAAGGAGAAGGAGAAGGAGAAGGAGAAGGAGAAGGAGAAGGAGAAGGAGAAGGAGAAGGAGAAGGAGAAGGAGAAGGAGAAGGAGAAGGAGAAGGAGAAGGAGAAGAAGAAGAAGAAGAAGAAGAAGAAGAAGAAGAAGAAGAAGAAGAAGAAGAAGAAGAAGAAGAAGAAGAAGAAGAAGAAGAAGAGCTTAGTTTTGAACATGTCAAATTTGAGGGCATGGTGGGACAGTCGGGTACCACCACAGTGAGGTACCACCTCACACCTATCAGAAATAACAAACGCTGGAGAGGATGAGGGGAAAATAGGTACACTAATGAACTGCTGATGGAGTTGTGAACTTGTCCAACCAATATGAAGAACAATTTGGAATTAGTAGTATTCATAAGACAGTTGGAGGTTATAGGATTATAGATTTGGAGCTAGGAAGAATCTTACAAGTCACTGAGTCCAACACTCTCATTTTACATATGAGGAAACTGAGGTTCAAAGAGATTAAGAGACTTGCCTAGGGTCACACAGCTAATAAGTGTCTGAGGCGGGGATTCAAACGTAGATTTTCCTGGCTCCTGGTCCAGTTTTATGCCTTGTTGCCTCTCTGCCAGAATGGAGTTCAAAATGAAGGTAGTGATTTAGGAGTCATCCCAAAGAGCTCATAATGGAAGCCAGAGGAATGAATGAAGATTGTCAAGGGAGAGAGTGTCAGAAGAGAAGGCAGGGAAGAAGGGGAGGCACAGAGCCTTGAGGGATGGTCACAGAGGGAGGGGGAAAGAAGAAGAACCAAGAAAGGAGAGTAAAAAGGAGTGAACAGTTAGAGAGGCAAGCGATCTTAGGATCATAGGTGCAGACTTGGAACTCAGAGACCATCTATTTCATGTTTTTACAGATTAAAAAAATGAGGCACAAGGAAATTAAGTGCCTTGTTCAAGGTTGTATAGGTAGTAGGTGGCAAAGCCATGATGTGAGCCCAGGTCCATCTGACTCCACAGACAACATTCTTTCAACTATATACTGCACTGTCATAAGACATATACTATTGGACATGACCTATTATCTATCCCTTGCTGGAGAAGGAATTTGAGGTTCAGATGAGTGAAATGACCTACTCAAAAGTCACACAGTCAATTACAGCTGAGTAGGGTCTAGGACCCAGGACTCTGCTCTGTTTAAGGGACTTTCATTTTTCCACACTGTAGGAAACACTCGCTCCCATTGGCCCAAGCCGTGAAGATAATGGTGGTGATTTCTTTTCAAGCTAGAATCCTTAGTCCACCTTCTTTGAGCATCCCCATCCCATCTAACCTCACCTTGCCTTTTCAGGACCCCCAAGAACAAATTCTGAAGCGCGTGAACTTTACCTTGAAGGAAACCGTGTGCCCAATGACTGAGGAGCTCGTGCTGTACCAGTGTGACTTCAAAACTGATGGGGTAAACAGTCAGTGGGAGGAAAGGCTTGAAGGCACCCTGGAGGAGGTGGAGGGGCTTGTTGGAGCTTTTATTATTCTGCTTTGCTCAATCCTACCTTTCATCAAAGCAGTACCCAAGATTTCTGTTAAGTCTTGAAACCTTGGGAGGTTGATAGTATAGCAGTTATTTTCCCATTTAACTCATGAAGAAACAAAGGGTCCAAAGGAGGGGAGCTTCACATAAGGACACAGCCTGCTGGTTGTGAAGCCAGGAATAGAACTCAGGTCCCCTAGATCCAACCTTAAGTGCTCTCTGACCTGGAAGGGACTCTGTGGCATTAGGAGATAACTGCACTTCTGGCTCTCACAGATCTAAACCCTCTGGGCCCCTGAAAAGATGAGCAAATTAGACTTTTCTCAATTTTTTCCTCCCTTCTTTTCTTCCTTTCTTCTCTCATCCTCCTTTTTTCTTTTCTTTGTTCCTCCTCCTCCTTCTTCTCCTCCTCCTCCTCCTCTTCTTCTTCTTCTGTCTTTTTTTTATCTCTGTCTGTCTGTCTGTCTCTCTCTCTCTCTATCTTTCTGTCTCCCTCTCTAATTGTGGGTGTCCCCTACACAGCTGGTGAAAGAATGTCAAGGCTCAGTATCCAACGAACAGGGCATTGCTGCCATCATCCTCACCTGTGACCCAGTGGCCCCAAAGGTGAGCTTTCTACTTTTCCCCCACTCTCTGTCCTACCCTCTCATATTTTATCCTTCAGGGCTGATCCAGTTAGCTGCAGTAGTAGAGGGTTTGGTGGGGGATAGAGGAGATTCCATCTTGCCCTCCCTGCTCTGGCCCACTACCCCTGTCACCTGAGCAGGAGAGACACCTGAGGGAGGGCTGGCCATAGCAGAGCAACCACAGGGCACACCCAAGCTGCTGTGGGCTTTCCCAACCCCTGTGGCTACCTTTCCAAGGTTTGCACCTCATCTGGGTAGGCTTACTCCAGAGAATAGTTCGCATTTTAACTTAGATTAGAAAATGTATCCTCCCACTACATCCCAGCTGTCCCTTTGTACTCTGGGAGTCTTAGACCTGAAGGGTGGGAGAAAGACCAGGGATTGGGCACGACCTAAACTGACTATTCTTAGGAGGGAGCAAAGAACCCATGCCCAACCCCTACTCCAAGGGCCAGCACACTGACAGAAGTTCCTCAGTCTCTAGCTCTGTTACCTGAATCAGATGCTTATGCTCCATCTTAATTTCTTTGCAGCCCTCTCGCTCCAGAAGAGCCCTGCTTCCATGGCAAAGGAAAGGTTCAAAGAAAAATGACCACAGACCTGGGACATACACTCTGATTGCCGCTGTAAAGCCCAAAAGACATAAGGGCTCATATATACTTTCTGCCTAGGCTCAAGTCAATATAAATCAAAGCCTGCTTTCTCCCTTACATTTGACTCTTTTTCAGTTTCCACTCCCCCTAATGATACACACACATAAACACACACACACACACACACACCTGTATAATCTATATATATATTTTTCTGTATGTGGCACACATATATAATATAATGTTTGGGGTACATATATGTAATTTGCATGGGGTATACATACATATGACATGCATGTATGTGTGTGTGTGTGTGTTTAGCCTGGTCTTCAAGACTTGAGCATTTGTATAAGATTTTCTTCCTTGGTGGAGAAAACAATATCTTGATACTACAAACCTATCCGTGTGAAAGATGGAGTTGGTAGAATGGCTTTGGAGAAGAGAGATATTATTATTCCTCTTTCCTGCTTCAAGGGAGGACACATTTCCTAAATATTCTTTTTAAAAAGATCAGGGAGAGAGAGAGACAGACAGACAGACAGACAGACAGATTGACTGACTGACTTTGGAAGGCAGACATGCAGGAGAAAGCTGGTTCTTCAAACATATCCCAGATTTCCAGTTTCCCTTCCTAGAATCTTTGGGGAATTACCCCTTGGATGAGATTGCAGCGTTTCTTTCTTGGTTGAACTGAAATATCTCATGCTCAGTGGGAGAGTTTATTGATTCTGTGCATTTTCTGGCATATTCTAACTTATGTAACTTGTCTGATTTCTGTTTGCTCTGTGCTTGGATAAATGGATTTACTCATTCTTCAATATCTGTGATGGTCTTTTATGCAATTAGAATTTGGTGGGAAGGAGTCAAGGCTCCAATGTAAGCTTTGAGTACTCCTTCCTTCTCAGTCCTTTTGCTAGCTCATCAGTAATAGTATGCCCTTAACTGTGAGTGTACCTCAATATTCTTGGCATACACTCACTAGCCTTCTTCTCTCTCACTTAGAATCATCAGTTTCCATAGGTTTAGGTATCATCTTTATAAGATGACTATATATATTCTATATATTTATATCTTAAGCCTCTCTGTTGAGGCTGAGTCAGGCATCTCCAACTGCCTGCTGGACATCTGAAACTGGACATCCTATATAGATATCTCAAACTCGGCATGCCCTCTCTCAACAAGAGATTCCATCATCTTTCACCCTAAACCTACCCCTTTTCTCAATTTCCATATTTCTAATGAGGATACCACCACGCTTCCAGAATCCCAGGTTTGCAAGCTCAGGATTATCCTAGGTTCTGTACTCCTCTTCACCCCGTTATCCAGTCACTTGCCAGCATCTCTCATATCCATTCCTTTCTCCCTAGATCCACAGCCACCTCTTGAGGTCAACTCCTCATCACTTCTCACTTGCACTTTGGCTCCTGATTGGGTTCCCAATTGGTTTCCCTGCCTCAATTCTCTCCTTACTGTAATCAATCATCCATAGAGCTTAATTGAATGTCTGATCATGCCATCCCCCTAATTCATAAACATCAGTGGATTCTTATTGCCTCTAGGAGAAAACACCAACTCCTCTGGCTTTTAAATTGCCTTTTACCACTTGTCCCCGGCCTGTCTGAATTCATTAGGTATCACTCTCCTTCTTGCACTACTGGCTTCCTCCTTATTCCTCACACATGATACATCATGTCATCTCCGTGCCTTTCTGGACAGCCCCCATACCTGGAATGCATGCCCGCCTTACCTTAGCCTCATAGAATCCTTCACAGAACTAAGCAAAACTTCTATGTGAAGTTTTTCCTGATTATCTCAATTGCTACTGCCTTCCTTTCCTAGACTACCTTACATTTAATTTTATTTAGTCTCTACATAATTATATGTATATACATTAGGTTCCCCTTCTCCCACCCCACCTCAAACACCCTTCTACTTTACCCCCTATAGAATATATAGACCTCGAGAGCAGAAATTGTTTTATTTTTATCTTTGTATCTTCAGTAACTGAGCCCAGACCTGGAACACAGTAGGTGCTTAATAAATGCTTGTTAATTAACTTATTGTTGATGGTGCTGGGATGATAGGTTGAGGTTATCAGTTCAGTGTTTCTGCAAAAGTAACCTGCTCAAATATTACTATAGCTGCCTTTCCAGGCCTGCCCCGACCTGAGCTCATTCTAAAGTCACCACCCACTATTGTATTCTTCAATAGCCAATGTGAGCCAGCCCATTTTTGGTGACTGAGCAGCTATGGGAGGTCTATGTGATAGGAAAATTGAGGGGTCCTACTGGAGTATAGGAGAGAAGCCACTTGCTATGGAAGCATCATCAGTCCAAGAAAAGGCATTACACAGTGGAGGGGAATGAGAAGGGAGAATATTGTTGGTGCGGAGCCTACATCCTGGAGGCCCCAAACTGCACTCTCGGGTTGGGGCCTCTGCTGGATATATCTCTGACACGGCTGTCTTGCCCAGTCAAACTGCAACGGAAATGTAGAGATAGGCGAGGGTTTGGGGGGGGGAGCAGGTTTTATCTTTAGTGAATTGTGTGCTTTTCTTTTTTATTGTGAGAAGGACTATTTTTATTGCATTTTTAGCTGCATGGTTGTTGCATAGGTTCCATTTCTGAGCCTGAATCCCTGGAGTGACCTAAGCAAGGTCTGACTCGGGACAAGAGGTCAGGGTTTAATGCTAGAGCTCAGGACACTAAGATGAGAGGTGCAGGCCAAAGCAGTGCTCAAAGTGGGGGGAATGAACATCCGCACCCCAAATTACAACTTCTCTGGAGAAGTTAGAGAAAATTAGTTTAGTTAGAGAAAATTCTCCTTTTTGACTGCAACTTAGCACTGACAGGCTCTTTCAATTTACCGTCAACCCTAAAAAGAATGTTAGAAAGTGTTATCTGTTAGTGTACATAGTAGGTCTCTTTCCTTGTTCCTTCTCTCTCTTAAAGCTCAAACTGGTGGCTAGAGATGGTGAAGCCATGACCAATTGTGGGGCTGCTTGTTTGGGTCTGGCTCCCTCCTCAAGAAACTGTAATTTTTATCAAAGAGGGTAAACACTCAAACTCTTTCCCCAAGGAACTGTGGGCAGAAAGTTCCCTTCCTAGTCTCTCACATTAGCCCATCTCTGAATGGGAAATCACTTCAAAATCGCTTCCTTCAGACCCCAGCACTGTCCCAGACCTAGCCCCATCCTGTGGCTCTAGTCTGAACCTGTCTAGATGACTCTGTAGTCTCCTACGGGAATGCTGGGCATAGTGCAGAGGGCGCTGTCAGACATCGCCAGGGTCTATCTCAGTGCCTTGCTACTCCACTCTGCCCCAGGCTTAGCCAAGGGTACTGCCCTAGGTAAAGTGGGGTGCTGGTGCTGCTGTTTCTCTTCCTCTCCTCCCAAACACACCCAGGCCCCTCATACTGGGGAAAGAAGCAGCAATGGACTCCCATGTCTGTGGAACTGTAAGATGCAGAGGAAAGGAGAGGTATCCAGTCTTTCTAAGTTGGGGATTTAAGGACCATTGCAAGTTGGGGGGAGGCTCTGACAGTCCTAGCCAGGCCACAAAGTGTGAGGTATGGTTGTGTATGTGTAGTGTTCTCACACAGGGGACAGATGCACAGACATTCTTGTTTGTGCTCACTTTTTCCTGTCATGGTTTTCTTTTGTCTCCAGGGTGTAAATAGCTATGGGCAACTTGGCCTTGGGCCATGAAGAGAATGTGCTTGAGTCCCAGCAGTTGAATGATTTCTGTAACGCCAAACTCATTAGGATGCTGACAGGAGGAGGGGGACACTCAGCTGTGGTCATAGGTCCCTTGCTGAAAACCAAATGCAGTCACACTCACAGCATTTAGAACTGGAAAAGGCACCTTGATGATCATCTGGCTCAGGCCTCTCATTTTACAGATGAGGAAACTGAGGCTCAGAGGAGGAAATCCTCCAGTCTTTCGTAAATTAGAATACCTCTCCTTTCCACCATGATTTTTGCAGAAGTTAACCTTTTTTGGGTCATGGACTCCTTGAGCAGTCTGGTGAAGTCTATGGACCCCTTCTCAAAATAATATTTCTTTTTAGAGGTGGAACTCTTTTTAAATTTTTTTATTTTTATTATTTTTGTTATTTTTAACATGTGTTTTTAAAACTTTGGGTTACAAATTTTCTCCCTTCCTCCCTCCGCACCCACCCTCATTGAAAAGGCAAGCATCTCAATACAGGTTATAGATGTGCAGTCATGCAAAACACTTCCATAGTAGTCCTGCTGTGAAAAACTAAGTATATTTCCCTTCATCCTATCCTACCCCCATTTATTCTATTCTCTCTTTTGACCCTGTCCCTCCTCAGAAGTGTTTGCTTTTGATTACCCCCTCCCCCAATCCACCCTCCCCTTTATCAACCCCCTGCTGTCTTGTCCTCTTCCTCCTTTATTTTCCTGTAGGGTAAAATAGATTTCCATACCCCACTGTGTATGTTATTCCCTCCTTAAGCCAAATCCTATGAGAATAAGATTCACTCATTCCCTCTCACCTTCCCCCACTTCCCCTCCACTGTAAGAGCCTTTTCTTGTCTGTTTCATGTGAGATAATTTGCCCCATTCGACTTCTCCCTTTCTCCTTCTCCCAGTATAATCCTCTCTTACCCCTTAATTTTATTTTCCAGATATCACCCCTTCATCTTCAACTCACCCTGTGCGCTCTATCTATCTATCTATCTATTTATCCATATACACATACATATAATTTTTCCCCTCCCACTACCCTAATACTGACAAAGGACTCATGAGTTACAAATATCATCTTTCCATGTAGGAATGTAAACAGTTCAACCTTAATAAGTCTCTTATGATTTCTCTTTCCTGTTTACCCCTTCCATGTTTCACTTGAGTCTTGTATTTGAAAGTCAAATTTTATAATCAGCTCTGGTCTTTTCCTCAGGAATGCTTGAAAGTCCCTATTTCATTGAATGACCATTTTTTTACCCTGAAGGATTATACTCAGTTTTACTGGGTTCAAAATAATATTTTTAAATGCATAAAATAAAATACACCAGGACTACAAAGGAAACCAAACTATATCTATATATCTATATCCATAGATATATAGATATAGATATAGTTTATATATCTATATATATATATGTAAGAGGTATAATTATCACATTTTTTTTGTTTTGGATTTTTTTTTGGAGGCAATCGGGGTTAAGTGACTTGCCACAAAGCTAGTAAGTGTCTGAGGACAAATATGAACTCAGGTCCTCCTGACTCCTTGGCTGGAGCTCTATCCAGGCTCTCACAACAGCCTTGAGGGGAGAGCATCGCAGCCGTCATCATCTCCATCTTACCGTTCAGAAACGTGAAGAGGTTTGCCTTGTACTGTAGCAAGTGGCCGGAGTTCTTGGTTTAGAGTTCAGCACTCAATCTGCTGTGCTGTTCTTTCCCTCAGATTCTCTTGCCTCAAAGGAGCCACGAGATTATCTACGTTTTGAATCTCCATTTATAACATATATTAACATATACACACATGTATAAGTCTATTAGAGTTATATGCCTGTCCTATGCCATTTTGTTCCCATGAATGCTAAAATGATTTGTTCACTTTTCAAAAAAAAAAAAAGAGGAAGAAAAAGCTGTTGGTCTACGTCAGAACTTCAAATGATTGGAATCTCTTTTCAATCTTTGGCAAGTTATGCTCGCTGGAAATTTTCTGTTTTGTAGATGGAAGGACCTTTTTGTTTGTGGCCTGAACAAAGATGAGCATCTGGGGCTTGGTCACGCTGACAATGTCCTGTCTTTTCTGCCTTGCATCCCACTAACTGACTGCCTAATATTTTCTAGATCTTACTAATGGTCTTAGAAAAGCTAGATCTCTAGCATAAGAAAATGGAAAATAAATTGTCTTTGTGTATTCAGCAACTAGAGATCTGTGTGTGAATTTGCTTTTGATTTTTATAAATTGTTCCTTGAAGGGAGAGGGGCAGCATATAGATATAGTGCAAGCACTGGTGAATCCTCCAGTCATTAATGTTCTCTCACTCCTCAAATTACTTTGCATTTTCTTCACTTTCTATATATTGTATTTTCCCAGGGGCCATCTCCAGTCATCCTGATCTACATCTGGACTTTACACAACCCCCCCTCACTTAAATCCAATTCACTTGCAAGTCATGGAATTACCTCCCTCATGTCACGGTCCTTTTCTAGAACTGAAGGACAAACAACAATTGTATCTTCCCAGTAAAATGTTAGGGCAGGTACGATTTCACTTTTTTTTTTTCTGGACTAAATGAGTAATCAGATTAGTCTTGTTCCTTGTGACCAAGCCCCTGTCTTATATCCTAGTCCCAGGACCTGAATTCATGTTGTGATCACCAGTGTCTGAATCCTTTCCTTGACTCTCTACCCCAAACCTTATATGCTTCAGGACTGCCATATTTCCCCTGAATCTCAGACTCCATGGTTAGATCTGCCTGAAACCTAATAACTTTTTGCATGGCTTCTCATACCCTTCTCTTGACCCATTGGGTCTCAAACATTCCTGGTAGGGCTCCCTCTGTCACTGAGGAACACCTGGTTTTGACAGGATGCTGAGGCCCAAGAACATACCAGCACCTCAAACAAGTACACCCTTCTATACCCCCCTTTAACCTATTCCCTCACACTCCCCTCTAAAAAATCCCTCCCTTATCCTCTCCCCCACCCCATCCCCTTAGCCTTTTATTTCTTTCTGAATTTAGAAGACTTTTATACCCTTCTAGATATACATGTGTTGTTACCTCTTAAATCCATTCCTGATGAAAGTAGGGTTCCAGAACTACCAGCCCTCCTTCCTCACCTAATTCTTCTGTGTCAGTTCTTCCACTCAAACCACATTTGTATAATATAATTATTCTTTTTACCTGTTCCTAAATGGTTCTACTTTTTAAAATCATTTCATACTCAGGTCTACTCTAATCTTTCTTACAAACTACCCAATTGCTAATAACACTCTTAGACAGATGTTTTACATTTCCTCATAAAAAAGGAAAACAGTCTGTCCTTATTGAGTCCCCTGTAATTAGTCTTTGATATGTACCTTATAGTTCTCTTGGCTCTTGTATGTCAAATCTTCTTCAGGTTGTTTTTGTTGTTGTTGTTGTTGTTATTGTTTTTTTAAACAAAACACTGAAAGTCTGACAATTCATTAAATGTCCATTTTTTCCATTCAGGATTATGCTTAACTTTGCTGGGTATGATATTTTTGGCTGCAACCTCAGTTCTTTTGCAATTTGATATATGGTGTTCCAAGATCTACAGTCTTTTAGTGTCACCAGTGCTAGGTCTTGTGTGATTCTAATTGTAATACTGCCATTTTTAATACTGCCATAATTTGATACTGCCATATTTAAATGTTTTTTTCTTGTTGCTCATAATATTTTATCCTTGAGCTGGGGGTTTCAGAATTCGACATTCCTGTGGGTTTTCCTCACAGAATATCTTTCAGATGGGGTTTGGTGGATTTTTTCTATTTCTACTTTCTCCTCTTGTTCTAATGATTCAGGACAACTTCCTTTAATTACTTCTTGTATCATTGTATCAAGATTCTTTTTTTGATTATAGCTTTCAGGTAGTCCAATTATTCTTATGTTTTTTTCTTCTTGATCTCTTCTCTAAGTCAGTTGTTTTACTTATAAGAGATTTTTTACATTCTCTTCTATTTGTTCATTCTTTATATTTTGTTTTATTGTTTCTTGAACTCTTATGACTTCTCTGGTTTCCCCTCCCCCAATTCTAATTTTCAAGAAATCATGTTCTTCCTTAAGATTCTGGATCTCCTTTTCTAATTGGTTGACTTTTTTTTTCACAATCTTCTTGGTTTTCTTGGATTGTTCTTATTTTTAAAATTTTTCTTCAATCTTTCTCATTTGATTTTTAAAGTCTTTTTAAAGTTCTTCTATGAATTCTTTTTGGGCAGGTGACCATTTGATGTTACTCTTCAGGGAGCAGAGGCTTGCTTTGCTTCAGTAGTCTCCTCTGAAGATGAACCCCAGTCTTCTCTATTCCCATAGTAACTTTCCTATGGTTGGAGTCTTTCTCCTTTGACTGCTCATTTTTTAAAAAAATTATAGCAGCTTATTTTTTGTAATGGGGTATGGGGGATGTTGCCTCTGGCCTCAGATTCTCCTTCAGCTCTCCCCTCTGGCCAGGAACCCAAACCAAGACCTCCACCCTCCTGTAAGTGCCCACAGTCAGTGGTGTCCATCCCACTGCTTCTGCACTCACTGGGCAGGCATCTGCTGGTTCCTTCTCACCCAGGGCCCTGTCTGCAAAGGCAGCACAGCTTGGTCTGGCATCCCTTATCAGCAGAGATTCCTTCAGTCTTCCCTCGCTCAGACACCTGACTCCCTTCACTGTTCCAGAGGTGAAAGTTCCTGTGGCTGGGGCTAAGGCCACCTCCCAACCCAGCTAGCCCCAAGACTTACCACTTTCCATTTCAGAGAAACTAGCCTGGAAGTGTTTATTCTTCACAGTGACCAAATGATTGGATCTTCTCTGATTGTCCCAGGAGGACCACTGTTCTGCCCCAATTCTGGGTAATTTTTAATTGCTCTGTGTTTACCCTGACATGCTGTTTTATCTCCTTTGTGGGGGAAATCTGGAGAGCTTGGAATTTCCTGACCTACTCTGCCATCTTCAGATCAGTATTCTTTTCACATTGTCTTTCCACGCCTTTAGATCATTTGTCTCCCCAGCCCTGTGACAACCCAAAATCTCCGAGGAGGTCACTTGGAACTGCTGGCATTCAGTTCTTTGGGTATGTACGTATCTTACCTGTCTTCATCATTCCTCCCTTCCTAGCCACCTCTGCAAAAATACCAGCCCAACTGGGGCCAGAAATAAAGTGACTGCATTTAGAAAAGTTTGTTTTCTATAAGAACTATCATATTTTACATGTAAATCTATAAATGTATATGAATGCATATTTGTACCATATGCAGATGAACATATATGGAGGCATACATATGTAATGTTTATGTGTCTATGTGCGTAGGGTTGTTATAGATTTTGTATATGTCCACAAGGGTTTTCTGAATGCAGCTGTCTCTGAAATCTTGCCCACCCTTCAAATAGTGCCTTTGATTCCTGTCTAGAGGAGAAGGGGCCATGAGACTGGATTCTTTGCTCTCTTTAGAGAGGGGTCCTACCCTAGAGTCACACCTTATCTGTTCCCATGCCCCTCCAAATAATGCTAAGTGGGAGTAATATTTTCTTTTTCCTTAGGTTCAAGCCACTCATTAAAGAGGAAGAAGTCTCCCAAGCTTATTTCCAAAGACTTCACTCCATTCCCACCAAATTCTAGTCACACAAAGACCATCACAGATAATGAATATCAAATAAGCTCTTTTATCTAATCAGATAGCAAACAGAAATCAGAGCAATGATACAGGTTAGAAGATACCCGACAACACACAGATTGAATGAGCTCTCCCACTGGGAGGGAGATATCTTAGCGCATCTAAGAGAGAGAGGCTAAAGAAAAATGGCAGAGGCTAAGGCCTTTGGAGGACATTCTCAGCTCCTGATACATAGCCAATCGCAAAAGCTCCTCTGAACCACATGACTCAGCAGTCCACAAACAATAACAGCATGTCTATATACCTCCATAGGGACTCTAAGGCATTCACATCATAAGTCATCACAGATCTCCACGAAACAGGTTCCTCGTCCCTTCCCATTTTTTTTTCTTTTTTGCCAGGCAATGGGGTGAAGTGACTTGCCCAGGGTCACACAGCCAGTAAGCCTCAAGTGTTTGAGGTCACATTTGAACTCAGGAATTCCTGAATCCAGGACCAGTGCTCTATCCACTGCGCCATCTAGCTGCCCCCTCCTCATCCCTTTCAACATGGCGAGATAGCTTCTGAGGTTTTTGCCCATGGACCAGTCCCCATTGCTCAACATTATGTTTTGCTGGGAGAAGGCAATGGAAAATAAGGTAAATAATGCCGGGGGAAGGCATATGCTGGCTGTACTGGGGATACAGCAGGTCAGGATAAGCTGATTAACTTGCCCTTCCACATCGTTGAATGTAAGGATCTAAGGAGGTTATGAACGTTGCATATCCTCGGTGGGCAACGTATTCTTTTGAAGCGAAGCGGCTGCAGAGAAAGGAGATGGTCTAACTCAGACAACAGTACTGGAGAGTGAGAGGTTTCTATCAATATCCTGGTCCTTGCAATGGGGGCTAGGCACGGATTCTGTGCTCACTCCTAAGAATAGCTAGCTTAGGTCATGCCCAGTCCCTGGTCTTTCCCCCACCCTTCAGGTCTAAGACTCCCAGAGTGCATAGGGACAACTGGGGAGTGGTGGGAGGATGCATTTTCTAATTTAAGTTAAAATGCAAACTATCCTCTGTTGTAAGCCTACCCAGATGAGGTGTAAACCTTGGAAGTGGCGACAGGGGTGGAAAGCCCACAGCAGCCTGGCTGTGCCCCATGGTCACCCTGCTGTGGCCGGGTGTCTCTCCTTCTAGGTGACAGAAGCAATGGGCCAGGGCAGGGAGGGCAAAATGGAATCTCCCTGTACCAGTTCCTCTATCCCCCCCAACTGCACCCCTATAGCTAACAGGATCAGCCCTGAATGATAAAATATGGGGGGGGGGAGAAAGTGAAGGGAGAGTAGAAAGCTCACCTCCGGGGGCACTGGGTCACAGGTTAGGATGATGGCAGCTATGTCCTGTTCATTAGATACTGAGCCTTGACATTCTTTCACCAGCTGGGTAGGGCACATCCATGATTAGAGAGGGAGAAAGAGAGAGAGACAGAGAGAGAGAAAGAGAGAGAAAAGAAGAAAAAGAAGAAGAAGAAATAAAGGAAACAAAAGAGGAAGGAGAAAGAGAGGAAAAAGGAAGAAATAAAGGGAGGAAAAAATTGAGAAAAGTCAAATTTGTTCATCTTTTCAGGAACCCAGAGGGTTTAGATCTGTGAGAGCCCGAAGTGCAGTTATCTTTGAATGCCACACTGAGTTCCTTCCAAGGCAAGAGAGCAAGGGAGGAAATAATCATTTATTAAGTGTTTACCAGGTGCCAGGCACTGTGCTAAGTGCTTTACAAATAGTATCTCATTTGATTCTCATTGTAACCCTGGGAGGTAGGTTCTGTTATTATGCCCATTTTATAATTGAGGAAACTCAGGTAAACAGAGGATAAATGACTTGCCCAAGGTCACACAGCTAATAAGCATCTAAGGCCACAGTGGAAGTCAGGTCTCCCTGACTTCAGGCCCAGTATACTCTATCTACTGCACCACCTAGCTGCTCTGAGAAAGCGCTTAAGCTTGAACCCAGGGGACCTGGATTCTATTCCTGGCTTCACAACTAGCAGGCTGTGTCCTTATGTGGAGATCACCTCCTTTGGACCCTTTGCTTCTCCATGAGTTAAATGGGAATATAACTGCTATGCTACCTACCTCCAAGGGTTTCCAAGGTAAACGAGATTCTAGCTCCAAGAGCCCTGCACTGATGCAGGGCTATGAGCCTAGAGGACATATAGACTCCCATAAGAACTCTCCCACCCCAGCCCTTCTCCAATATGTCCTCAGCCCCATCCTGACCCACAAACTGCTTACCCCATCTGTTTTAAAGTCACACTGGTCCAGTGGGAGCTCCTCAGTCACTGGGCACACAGTTTCCTTCAAGGTAAAACTCAGAAGCTTCTGGGTTTGCTCTTGGAGAGGCTAAAAAGACAAGTTAAGGCTAGATGGGATGGGACTGGTTAAGGGAAGTGAATATAGGACCAGAGTCCTGGTCTTGCCCTGAATTGAGAAGGTATCATCATCCCCATCGTCGTCAAGGCATTGGGCCAATGGGAACAAGCACTTCCTATGGTGTGGAAGAGTGGACAGAGCCGTGGAAAGATGGGAGAGAGCCCACTCTGCCAGTAATTGGTTGTGCGACTGCAGGAGGTTACTTCACCAGTCTGGGCCTCGATTTCCTCATCCGCAGGGGAGAGACGCCGGATAGTGAATGGCTTGGGAGAGTGTTGCGAGGATTTCTGCTTGCCTCTTTCATCCATCTTTCCTTACCTTTCAGGCTCCTTCACTGGCTCCTGCTCCTCCTCCCGCCCTCCATTCGTGCTCCTCCCTGAAGGTTCTGTATAGATCTTCTTCTCTTCTCTTTCTATAATCTTTCCCTTGGCAATGTCATTTACTCCCCTAGTTTCATAGAAATCTATGAGTATCAATCCCAAATGAACATCTTTATCAAGGTTTCTCTCTTCAACTCCAATCTGGCCAAGAGGCAACATGGACAACATGATAGAGTGGAAAGACTGCAGGACATGGAATCGGGAAGACTTGGGTTCCTGCCTCGGACACTTACTATCTGTGGGAATCTGGGCAAATTCCATCATCTCTCTGAGTCTGTCTTTCCTCATCCATAAAACAGGAACTAGAATAACTAGTTCTCCATCTTCAAAGCCGGCGGGCCATTCTCAATCAAGGCATTAGAATTGATTTTGAAGGAAAAGGGAAAGATGAAGAAGAATGAGGTCAGTCTGGATTTTACCCTAGGGGAAAAGGCCAGAGGGAGCACTCACCTGAATGGATGGAGGAGAACGGACTTGCAATACCCGGAACGCATTCTCTCTCCCAGGTACCTGGTTGTAGAAGTGAATGACTGCAGAAAGGGCCTTCTCATAGCTTAGGGAGGGCTGAGGCAAAACTCGTGGTGGAAGGACAGCGGTGGCACCGGCCAACAGCAGCAGCTTTGTGAAGTGCTCCATCCTCCTTCCTCTGCCTCGCTGACCCTCAGCCAGTTCCTTTTATGTCCTCTCTCCTCTGTTCTGTTGGGCAACAGGGGTCCTTGTCCATCGTCTGGGCCTCTCTACTGGCTTTCAGTCTGTTGTATGGAAGGGATGGGGAGGATATGAAGGAAGCTAAGATTGTGAAACACTTTCCTATCCAGAGATGTGCTAACATCAGAGACGAGGGAAGGACCTAGCTGCCTCGGTTTAGTTGGGGAAGGAGTCTGAGTGTTTACCCTATTTGATCACAGTTAGTATTTCTCAAGGAGGGTGCCACACCAGACAAGTAGCCCCAACTTTGGCCCTGGTTTCTCCATCTCTAGCCACTACTTTGGCCTTTAAGAGAGAGGAGCCATAAGGAAGTGAGGTTCCCTTCCAGGGTGGGGGTCAGGGGACTCAGCACCAAAAGCACAGGACCTCCCCTCTCACATTCTGCCAGGCCCCATATCTTACGGGCTGTCTGATATGGCATAATGCATAGGGCACTGGGCCTAGGGTCAGAAAAACCTGAGTTCAAATCCAGCCTAACTGTGCGACCCTGGGTAGGTCACTTAACTTCAGTTTGTTTCAGTTTTCTCAATTGTAAAATGAGAAGAATAATAGCACCTACCTTAAAGGTTAGTTTCTAGGATTAAATGAGATTATTATTGATAAAGTGCTAAGCACAGTGCCGGTCACTAATAGGCGCTACCTATATAAATATTTCATTCCTTTCCTTCCTCCTATTTCTCTCCCTTTGCCCCTTCTCTACTGATTAGAGAAATGCGAATTAAAACAACTCCAAGATTGTGAACTGATTCAACCATTCTGGAGAGCAATTTGGAACGAAGTACAAAGGGCTATCAAACTGTGCATCTCCTTTGACCCAGTAATACCACTACTAAGTCTGTACCCCCAAGAGATCAAAGAAAAAGGAAAAGGACCTGTAGGTCCACAAATATTTAAGCAATTCTTGTGGTGGCAAAGAATTCAAAATTGAGTGGATATCTTGTTGTCCTTCATTCTCCAAGAGGACCAAGGATATCAGAAGGGCGGTGTTTTGACTTGCAAGTGAATGGGATTTAAGAGAGGCATCAGCCTCACTCTGTTCCAAAGTTATCAAAGTCCAGTGGCAAAGTATAGGTTAGGACAACTGGTGATGTGGATACATATCCAATGAGGAATACCTAAACAAGCTGCAGCATATAATTGTGATGGAGTATTATTGTGCTATTAAGAAACGATGAGGGGCAGCTAGGTGGCACAGTGGATAGAGCACAGGCCTTGGAGTCAGGAGGACCTGAGTTCATATCTGGCCTCAGACCAAACACTTGACATTTACTAGCTGTGTGACCCTGGGCAAGTCACTTAACCCCATTGCCTAGCCAAAACAAACAAACAAACAACAACAACAACAACAAAAAAAAACAACAACAAAGAAATGATGAGGGAGATGGTTTCAGAAAATACTGGGAAGATTTATATGAACTTATGCAAGGGTAAATGGGCAGAACCAGGAGATCATTGAACACAGTAACAATAATATTGTAATGATGTTCAACTGTGAAAGACTTAGCTACTCTGATCAAGACAATAATTCAAGACAATTTCAAAGTATCCATGATGAAAAACTCTATCCACCTCTAGAGGGAGAACCGATGAACTCTGAGTGCAAATCGAAGTATAGCTTTCTTACTTTATTTTTGCTTTCTTTTTTCTAATACGGTTAATATGAAAATATGTTTTGCATGATTTCACATATATAAATGATATCATATTGCTTGCCTTTTCAGTGGGTGGGGAAGGTATGGGAAGGAGGAAGAGAATTTGAAACTCAAAATGAAAATATGTTAAAAATAAATAATAAATATATGTACATATATTTAAGGGGGGGAGGGGAAAGACCTTCAAGGGGGTCTTCAAGGGGGAAACCTACTACTTCCAAAAGAAACCATTCCATTTTGATCAACTCTCATTGCTAGTAATTCTTGACACTAAGCAGAAATCTGCCTCCTACTGCTCCTAGTTCTGTTCTCTAGAACCAACTGGGGCATGACTAATCACTTTTCTTTCTTTCCATCTTTCTTTCCTTTTGTCTTTCTTTCTTTTGTAAATAATATTTTTATTTTTTTCCAATTACATGTAAAGATAATTTTCAACATTCATTTTTATAAGATTTTGAGTTCCTAATTTTTCTCCCTCCCTCGCACACCCCATCCCCAAAACTGCAAGCACTCTGATATAGGTTACACATGGGCAATCATGTTAAACATATTTCACATTAGTCGTGTTCTGAAAGAAGAATCATAAGAAGAGGGAAAAACCATGGAAAAACAAAACCAAAAAAAAGTGAAAATAGTGTGCTTTGATCTGCATTCAGACTGCACAGTTCTTTTCCAGATGTGGATAGCATTTTCTTTCATGAGTCTTTGAGAATTGTCTTAGATCATTGTATTGCTGAGATCTAAGTCTATCAAAGTTGATCATTGCACAAAGTTACTGTTACTGTGTATAGTGTTCTCCTAATTCTGGTCACTTCACTCAGCATCAGTTCATGTAAGTCTTTCCAGGTTTTTCTGAAATCTGCCTGCTCATCATTTCTTATAGAACAATGGTATTTTATTACATTCATATACCACAACTTGTTCCCCAACTGATGGGCACTCCCTCAATTTCCAGTTCTTTGCCACCACAGAAAGAGATGCTGTAAATATTTTTACACATGTGAGTCCTTCTCCTGTTTCTATGAACTTTTTGGGATCTAGACCTAGAAGTGCTATTGCTGGGTCAAAGGGTTGTTGTTTTTTTTCCCTACTAATTTTTCATGGATTTATTGGATCTGGCAAAGGACAACACATTGAAAAGTAGGACAAAAATACATTTTGATTTCATCTCTTTTTTTTTTAAGTGTTCTTTCTTTCTTCCCCCACCTACTTAATAATATTTTATTTTTCCAATCACATGTAAAGAAAGTTTTCAATATTCACTTTTATAAGATTTTGAGCTCCAATTTTTTTCTCCCTCCTTCCTGCCCATTCCCCCTCCCGAAGACAGCATGCAATCTGATATAGGTTATACATGTACAATCAAATTAAACATTTAGTTTGAAGTTCACTAAACCCTCAGGTCTTTTCCATATAATTGATTGTCTAGTCACACCTCCCTACTCTACAATCATGCAGTTGATTATTTCCCCCATTGAACAAATATGTATTCCACCTTAATACATGCTAGATGTACAAGCTAATGAATCATCTCCACAGGATACAAAGACATTGGCAAAGGACAGTGTGACCAGTGTCTAGCATTATAAAATAAGACAAAACAAATGCTGTAAAAAGGCAGGGTTCAGACTCATTTGGTAGACAGGAGCATGTCACAGTTCCTGCAAATTCATTAGAAAATGAATCTTCTGATATGCACCAACATAAACAGAAATACCGTTATAGGCATATCTTTTATCATTTGTATTTCTACACATAGGTGGCTCTTCTTAGAGTCAGGAAGATTTCAGTTAGAATCCTGCCTCAGAGTCTTATTATCTATATGGACCTGGGCAAGTCATTAAAGAACAGGACAAGACACAGCCTCCGTCTACCACAGTTTTCCCATACGTAAAATGGGGTGATATTAATAGCACTGATCTCCTAAGGTTCTTGTGAGAATAAAGTGAGATAGTATATGTAAAGTGTTTTGGAAACCTTAAAATGCTATGTAAATGTTAGCTCTTTTTATTGTTATATACACATATTTATGGGGCCAGGGGGTGGAGAGCAGTATAGACCAATGATTTCATTGGTATATGTGGATCCCATTCTGGAAACTCCCTTCCTTGATACAAATTGAAAACTCATCTGTGAAAGAAATTATTATTAATCACCTATTAATATAGGAGAATCCAGGGTTTCTTCCCTTTCTATTTCCTCATTCAAAATCCAGCCTCTCAGGGGCATTTCTGACTCCGCCCAAAGAATTCACCCACCCAGACCATCTTATCTAGGTGAAATTCTTAGTCTGCCTTGAAATGAGTCTCTTTGTCCAAGAGTGGCACAGTCAGAGTCACCTACCCAGTCCCTCATTGGAATACGCTCACCTCTCATTATAATATTAATTTTCTCATTAATTATTAAGTAATCAGAGTTGATTTCCTCCTGTTGGGAACACCCACTCTTCCAAGTGTATATAAACATTCAGTGGGCCACTGACTTCAATCTACAGCCATAATTAATGAATCAACTATTAATTACCCAGAAATTATATCTCTTAGACTTTTTATTCATCACATATGTTATTTATAGGGTCACAGACTTGGAGCTACAAGAGACCCTAGAAATAATCATAATCCAATACCCCCATTTTATGGACATGAAAACTGAGAATGTGTGAGGGACTGTGAGGGAATGGATGAATGATAGTCCTGGCCACTTGACTTCAAGAAACGTTCATCGTCTTTGCCCAAGGTCAAACAAGGTCAAATCGGCAGTAAGGTGGGATTTGAACCCAGTTCTCTGACTCCAAATACAGAGCTCTGTTCATTCTACTGGAATCATCTGGGACTGAGGATAAACATGAAAAGCGACACAGGCTCAGCCCTTAAGGAGTTTGTGATCTAATTGTGGGGGATGGTGGTCAGACTGCAAATAAACACTAGGAAACACCCCACTTGATCTCCCATGTTATGTGACAAGAGGGAGAAAGGAAGGAGCAATTAACCCTAAAGGCAAAGGCAGTAAAAAGGCAAGCTCAGGACCAGCAGCGAACTCTAGGCAAAACTTCAGCTTGGATAAGCCCTAGGGAGAAAGGTGCAGGTGTCCAGGGAGGATTTTTGATCATAGAATTAAAAATCTAGAGCTGAAAGTGACCTCACAAACCACCTATCTAACCCTTTCACTTTACAGATGAGGAAACTGAAGCCCAGGGAGTTTAAGTGTTGAATACGAACTCCGTTTTCTGACTCTATCAATGCTCTTCCCACAGTACCACATGGCAGAGTGACATAGTCAGACCTACATATTAGGAAAATTACTCAGGTGGTTTATGACAGGGGGAGAAACTGAAAGCAGGACCACTAATTAAGAGGCTTTAAAAATAGTCCAGGTGAGGAATGATGAGGGCCTGAACCTGGATGAGAGCCTTCTAAGTAGAGAGAAGATGGAGGGGACGTA